ACACCAACTGGGTGGGTAAAATAATAATAGTGCCCAATTTACGCATTTAAAAAATAACAAAAATGAGGGCGCCTGGGTGGCTCAGTGGGTTAAGCCGCTGCCTTCGGCTCAGGTCATGATCTCAGGGTCCTGGGATCGAGTCCCGCATCGGGCTCTCTGCTCAGCAGGGAGCCTGCTTCCCTCTCTCTCTCTGCCTGCCTCTCTGTCTACTTGTGATCTCTCTCTCTGTCAAATAAATAAATAAATAAATAAATCTAAAAAAAAAAAAAATAACAAAAATGAAAAACTGGAAACATAATGTAAGCCAGAAGGGTAAAGTCTGGAGCTAAGGTATTCTACAGTTAATTTACTTTGGAAATCGGGTCAGAACATTAACTTCTGGAATATGCAATTAAATTTGCATGGTAAGATTTCGGTGCTAACCACTGGATGAACAGAAATGGAGTGTTTAAACTAGTAAAAAAATAAAATAAAATACAGAGCTGGGGCAATCAATAATAGTTACTAATGAATCTTAAAGGCAAAAAGGAGGAAAAAACGAAAGGCCAATATGAATCAAAAAAGAAGGGCGCCTGAGTGGCTCAGTTGGTTAAGCTTCTGCTTTCAGGTCAGGTCATAATCCCAGGGTCCTGAGATCAAGCCTGTATCGGGGTCCCTGCTCACTAGGGAGCCTGCTTCTCCCTCTCTCTCTGCCTGTCACTCCCCCTGCTTGTGCTCTCATTCTCTCTCTGTCAAATAAATAAATCAATCTTTGGCAAAAAAAAGAAAAAAAAAAAGAAAGAAAAGATGACAGAACTATGAATGGTTTAAACTTTCCAATAATAGGCAAACTCAGATTGGGTTAAAAAAAAAGACAAAAACAATCTACGGGCGCCTCGGTGGTTCAGTCAGTTAAGGGTCTGACTCTTGGTTCTGGCTTAGGTCATGATCTCAGGGTCCTGAGATCAAGCCACATATTGGGTTCCACACTCAGCAGAGTCTGCTTGCCCCTCTCCCTTGGCTCCCCCCAGGATAAATAAAATCTTTACAAACAAACAAACAAACAACAAGCTAGCTTTGTAATATTTAAGAGATGTATATGCCTAAAGCATTAAAGGTCAGAAAAAAACTGACAACTAAAGCATGGAAAACACTGATAGAAATATAAAGAAATTAAGATAAATTTGTCTTCGAAATGGACAATCTCAAGACCTTCTCTCAATTATTGTTAAGTCAAGGAAACCAAAAACTCATTAAGGTCGAGATTTGAACACCATAACCATAGAGCTGTATCTACTCAATGCAAAATTCTGAATCCAACAATTACAGCCCACTTTCTTTCAAAATGCAATGGAAGAAGTGCAAAATTAATTCTTAACAATTTTCAAAAAATATGTATTACACAGATCACACTGAAACAATTCAATCAAGTCAAGAATATATAATAAAAGAGCAAAAGACAGAAACAAATCCTCCATATACTGTAAATTACAAACACTTTCAAACAGCTCATGGGTCAAAGATGAAGATCATATTAGGAATTAAAGATACTCTGATAATGAAAACTTTATATATCAAAATTTGTGATAGGCAACAGAAGTGGCACCTCAAAAGAAATTTACAGCTTAAATGGTTTACATCTGAAAAGACAAGCAGAGATAAACTGATAATTAAAAATATAGGTGGGGGACGCCTGGGTGGCTCAGTTGGTTAAGCGGCTGCCTTCGGCTCAGGTCATGATCCCAGCGTCCTGGGATCGAGTCCCACATCGGGCTCCTTGCTCAGCGGGGAGCCTGCTTCTCCCTCTGCCTCTGCCTACCACTCTGTCTGCCTGTGCTCATGCTCTCTCTCTCTCTAACTAATGAATAAATAAAATCTTTAAAAAAAATAAAAAAAAAAAAAAAAATATAGGTGGATATATTAAAAATTAGAACAGGAACCAAAGAAAGAGAAAGCCAAGACATCAAAGGAGAATCGACAAAGCCAGAATTATCGTTAAGTCTTTGAACACATTAGCAAAATAAACTTCTGGCGACAGACTAATCCAAGACAAAAAGAGAAACAGCATGAACACTGTGAGGTCGTAGGCTAATAAAAGTAGAGACCAGAGAGAGGAAAAAACACTAACTCATGCCAATACATGTATACATATTTAGATTTTAAAAAACATGTTACAAAGCTGTAAAACACAAAGCTTTAAAAACATGTCACAAAACTGTAAAACAGTAAGTACGGTAATTAATTGCTATTTGCAGAATGTCACTTTGCACTTGCGAATAAACCAATTCACTAAGAGTAGTTAAGTCCTCATAAGATGTACTTGATACCATTTCAAATTTTTAACCTTTTACTTCAAAACAGTAATACAGAGAACCACACAAAACAAACAGTAGCTTCGTGAATTTTATAAGGCAAAACACCCTTACAGCCACCATTCAGGTCTAGAAAATAGAACTGTGCCGCCCACCCCAGAAACTGTCCCATATATGCTCCGTCTCGATCAGTCCTTTCCTAAAGTAACCATTTATGCCTTTTATAGTAACCTAAAATTTCTTTGCGGCTCATAAATATGCATCTCTAGACACTACAGTTTAACCTTGCGAATTTTGTCGTTCAGTGTAGAATTCTCAGGCTATTTGACCTATACGGCATCCCAGATACTGTTCTTCGCCTGTTGCACACTCATGAGGCGACAAGCAACATATTCCTCTGGCCTCTGTACTTCCTGCAAGCTGAATGCCAGATCAGAGCCCTGATCACCCAGGTTCAAATCCTCTGGCAAGAAGACTAAGGTAGTTTGGGGTTTTTTGGTGCAAAAATGGTGATTTTATTAAAGCACGGGCAAAGGACCTGTGGGCAGAAGAGCTGCTGCCAAGACGGAGGGAGTTTTATTCTTTCATCTGGAGGCATGAAATAACAGTTTTTCACTTTTTTAGTCGCCATTAATGATCAGTGCCTAATTAATTCACTGAGTTGGGGGGGAACCCCAACAAGCTATAATTCTATCATTCTGTTTTCACTTACTAGCTGGAGGAATTTTTTTAAAAAAAGCTTTTTCTAGGGGTGCCTGGTTGGCTCAGTCTGAAGAATGCAACGCTTGATCTCAGGGTCATGAGTTCAAGCTCCACTTTGGGCACAGTTTATTTAAAAAAAAAAAAAAACAACACAACAAAAAACCTTCCTCACTAACTACATAAAGGACTGCAAATGTCTATTTTTGGTTGCAGCTATTCAACTCTGGATATAGTACAAAAGCAGCCACAGACAATATATACATGAATGGGCAAGGGTTGGTCCAATAAAACTATTCACAAAAGCAGATGTTAACTCCTATACTATTTGACTATACAGGGACACCATTCTTTAACATAAAAACAGCATAAATGCTCAATAATTTATCCAGTTTTCAAGACAATGAATTAGTATCTATTATCCTCCAGAATGTGACCAATTAAAGATCTACTTTTAAAAAATGTGAAATCATGGGGGCTCACTTGGTCAAGCATCTGTCTTCAGCTCAAGGCATGATCCCAGAGTCCTGGGATCAAGTCCCACATCAGGCTCTCTGCTTAGCAGGGAGTCTGCGTCTCCCTCTACCCCTCCTTCTGCTCGTGCTCTCTAAAATACATAAAATATATTAAAAAATATATATGAAATCATGGATTTAAACCTGTTTGATGGACTTCAACACACTGCAATTCTTACCCTTACTGAAGCTCAAATGCTCTCTAGTTGCTCTTTACAAAAAATACAAATTGGCTCATTTACACTTTCTAGTTAATGTATTTGGCTGTTTTGGAATCTTCTTGTTCTCAGGTCCATCATTTATTGGATTTGCACATAATGCTGCATGGCAAAATGCACAATACAAGGATTTTTTTTTTTTTTTTTTTTAAAGAGAATGAAGGGACACACAGAATGGAATCATTAAGGCCTCATGAAACAGATCTGAAATGAACCTGAAACAATTTCAAGAACATAGTTAAGAGGAATGAAAAAATGTATGCCAGCATTAGAAAAGTATGAGTCAGAAATAACATGACGAGCATTCAGTTTTGGCGAGGTTTTTTAAAATTTAGATCTCAATAGAAAAGAAATAGATGTAAACTAGGATCTTTCTTGATAGAACAGAAGAGGTTCTTGACTGGAAAGGCCCAGAGACCAGCTATCCAAATCGACTAAAGGCCAAGCTGATGGCATCAGTCCCAGATAATACATGAGGTGGAAACATCATAATGCTCTCAAGAAGAAATCACATGATTAAAGCACACTTTGACAGGAAAAGTGTTTGTACTGAAGACGGGGTTAGTGGGGGTTGAGAGAAAGGAAGCAGAAAGATCAGCTGAAAGCTAACTGCAGTTAACCAGCAACAAAAGAATAAAGTAGGGCCACTGGGACAACTGGCCAGGTCAAAGAAAGGATGCTAAGAAGTGTCCCAGTTCAGGAGAACAGGGGTACAATTAACAAAAAGAAGAAAAAATGAAGGTATCTATGTATCTCTAAGTAGAAACTTTCTCAGGACCAGCAAAACACTGGTAATTATTAAGGCTAGATAACCGGGTAAATGGGAATTCATCGAACTATTCATCCCACTTTTAATAACATTAAAAATTTCTGGGGCGCCTGGATGGCTCAGTGGGTTAAGCCTCTAAGCCTTCGGCCCAGGTCATGATCTCAGGGTCCTGGGATCGAGCCCTGCATCAGGCTCTCTGCTCAACAGGGAGCCTACCTCCCCCACTCTCTCTGCCTGCCTCTCTGCCTACTTACGATCTATCTCTGTCAAATAAATAAATAAAATCTTCAAAGAAAAAAAATTTAAAATTTCTGTAATAAAAAGACTTAAGATCCTAAAATGTGCAGGCTTAGACTTTCCTCTCGGTCCTTTCTCATTCTCTCTTTGGGCCTAACGAGCACTTTTCTCACACAACTAACATTTCATAAACACCCACTGGCAAATCTTTAATGCCTCATGAAAAAAAAAAGTGTAGTAACAGAGAATGACATATCATTTAAATTATTACCTTGGCTCTTTTCTATATTATCTCCCTTTGTTTCCTCTTCTTTAATAGGGGTACTTATTCTGGGGGTCCTGCTTTGGCCCTGGACCATTTCTGCCAGCAATTCTTCTTGAGAAGTTCGAGTTCTGGGAGCAACTGGAAGTGTCTGTTTCTGTGAGACTTTTTAAAAGGAAAAAAGATGGGAAATGTAGATGCAGTAATACATCAAAACTGAGCAGAGAATATGTCCTATTAAATATAAATGCCTCCTTGGGTTTAGAACAAATGAAAAATTTGAAACGGCTCACAGGTAACACCTTTTTTTCTCACAATATTCCAGAGAGAGATATACCTGACTTCATCTATACATTTTAAACCACATGCCATACATATATTGCCAGACACAGTATTCATTTTTGACCTGTATGTAAATTATAATTTGAAGTTGTTATGTGATCATGAAGCAAAATTTAAATTACATTTGGTTAAAAATGAATATCAATGTTATTTCTCAAAAATACATGGGCAATCTCCCACTATTATAAAAACAGGGGGGGCGCCGGGTGGCTTAGTCAGTTAAGCATCTGACTCGATTCTGGCTCAGGTCATGATCCCAGGGTCCTGTGATCAAGCCCTACATAAGGGTTTTTGCTCAGTGGAGAGCTTGTTTCTCCCACTCCCCTCTCTCCCTGCTCATGCTCTCTAATAAAATCTTTAAAAAAGCTAAACAACAAAAAACAACACTCAATATTGTAGAAAGGCAAAGAAATGAAATTTATATAGGTTAGGTCTAGTTTTGGCCTTAGCCTGATAGTCCTCATATGCAAAAGCTGTTTATGTTCAAAGTTAAGTTAGAAATAAGAAGAGGACAGATACCTGAGGTTCGAAAGCTGGTAACTTACAATCTACTTCACTTTAAGAAAGGGTGACAAAAAGATACAAAAGAAATGGCAGAAAAATGCTAAACAAACGGTCATCAAATCCATAGCAAAAATAAAATAAAAATTTTTAGAGTGGGCAAGCATCAGTTTTTATTAATCGAAAGTTTTGCACACTAGCTTCAGCACATGGGGCAGAACACAGAATTTATGACAATATGGCACCCATCATTTAGTTTGCATTTTGGAACAAATTTTCTGTAAGGTCAGACTATATGCGACTTATCTCCTTTTCTTATCCTTTAAAAACACGCAATACCTTTACATTCTCATAAAATAATTCAGTACTTCCACTAGGACTGGGGCAGGAACATCACAAATGAGTCAATTCTCTGCCTTATATTCCATTATTGGGTTCTACTGGAAAAAAAAAAAAGAAGCCAATCTGCTCATGCACTAGCCAAATTTGTCTAACTCTGACCTCTTAATATCCAACTGAGCTCCCTTTTATAGATCATAAATGCCTATCAAATGTTGACTCCAATGACATGAATATGAAAGTCCCACCTTTATCAAAACTCCCTATAAAAATTTTATTAAATATTTCACACATACTATGAAGGTAATAAAAGGCACTACACAGCTGATCAAAGAACTAAATTACACTGACAACTGGAAGTTTCTCAAAATGATCTGTTAAAACCATTCTTCTCTGAAACTCTTCTTGGTTCTGACATCTGGCAAGTGTCTTTATTATACAACTTGGGAAGCAATCAATGCAAGCTTCAAGAGTCAAAGAAAACTCAATGTAAACATAATACATTTGAAATTACCTGTAGAATAGTTAGTTGTTTTTGTTACAGATTCTTGAGCTTCAGATATAGCCTTCAAAATTAGGTTCTTGTTAGCTTGTTTAGAAGGTGGAAGTGAAGGTCTAAAAAAAAGTTAAAAGTATATTGATTAAATCTTAGATTTGAGTTCTTTACATGCTAGCCATCCGTTAGGCCTTTACTACAGCCTTCCCTTAGATTTTGTACAGACTAGTTGTACATTTTTAAGAAATGTCAACTAGACTGGAACATTTTAAACTTTTTAAATAATGAATCTGGATCACCCCTCACCCTCCCACCGTATTACAGTTTTTATTCTCTGCAATCTTCTCCAATTTTAAGCAATTTCTCTTTCATTAATCTGTTTCTCAAAAACCAATAGAAAAGTCTTACGTGCTATTAAAATTTTATTTTCATGATATCCTCTTCAAGAAACCCAGAAGATTCCATCAGGCAATTAAAGATTAATTTACAGACAATGGTCAAGGTACCTCCTTTCAGGCTTTGCTGGCACTGACACACTGCTGGAGATACTTCCTGTACGAGACCCACAATCGTCATCTTCCTCCTCCTCTTCTCCATCATGATTGAATTTTTTTACTTTAACAACTGAACTTACCACAGGCAACTTTCTCTTCCGAAAGTTTTCTTCCTGCAAGCAGATAAATTTAGGCTTACCTAGTCTCAGAAAAAAAACAAAGTTCTATCACAGTGTTTATTTTTTTCCTCAAGAAAAAGCCAATCATACTGAGAATTCACAAGCTACTTCCTGGTTTCTTATAAAAATGTAAATATTATCCTAAGAGCCAATCATTAGCTGTAACAAAAAATAACGCTTTACATTCATGTATAAACAGCAGCATACAGCACTGTTGAGGAAACTAATAAAATGGAATTACTTCATTGTTTCTAAGTAACTGCCGTGGAAAATCTAAAATTGACCTAAAATTCCCCCGAAATTATAAGGTAAGGTTATAGCTATCTCAAATGCTGGCATCCCAGGAAAGTAAACAAGATATAAACTATCTGTAGAAGCCAATCGTGAAGTGGAAAATCTGGTGTAGTATGTTAAGGAGCACAGAAATCCATTTAAAGTAAACTTGCAATATTTGTTTAGTTATTTCACATATACTCAGTACTAAGAAATACCAATTTTCAGTCTAAGAAGCCAGAATTTAAAAAGTATATGCAGGGGCGCCTGGCCAGATCAGTTAGCAGAGGATGTGATTCTTGATCTCAGGGTTGTGAGTTCTAGCCCCATGATGGGAATGCAGCCTAACTTAAAAAAATAAAAGAACTTTTAAAATGTAACAACAACAAAAAAAGTATATACAAACCTCAATACTCATTTTTTCTGAGTTGTTTCTGAAAAAGGGACTGTAAGTCTCTTCTAAACTGTTAAGCACGTCCGGTTCACACAAACGCCCTGTTTCATATACCCGGCTGTTCTGTGTATCAGATTGCTTGGCAGCATGAATACTGTTTTGCTGCTGCTGAAATTGCAACCTGTTTAAATGAGCACCACTATCTGCATTTCGACTTGCAGGTGGTCGATAAATTTCAATAGAAGGGCGAGAAGAACCATATGTAAGTGTCACTGTAGGTTTTTTCTGAGATAAGGGATTCTCCTGCACAAAATTGAGGTCTTCATCAATGAGATCATCTGGTTCTGGTTTAATATCAATCACATCTTCAGAGGGTGCTGGCTCCCTCAGAGGTTTCACAGTTGACATTAATCGGGTTGCAGCTCCATCATCATAAGTCTGTCTATTTTTAAAAACACATACACACAAAATTATAACCAACTTACAGCAGTAACTTCAAATACTTAAATTTTAATGAAAAAGTTTACTCTTTATGTATTCCATTAAAAACTACTTCTTTTTTTAAAGATTTATTTATTTGACAGAGAGAACATAAGTAGGCAGAGCAGCAGGCAGAGGAAGAGGGAGAAGCAGGCTCTCCGCTGAGCAGGGAGCCTGATGTGGGGATTGATCCCAGGACTCTGGCATCATGATCTGAGCCGAAGGCAGCCGCTTAACTAACTGAGCCACCCAGATGCCCCTAAAAACTACTTTAAAAGTACTTTTTTAAAAAAACTTTACATATTTGAGGTGAAAGACAATCATATATAGGTCTTAACCATTACCTTATTGAAAAAAAGAAAAGGGCGCCTGGGTAGCTCAGTGGGTTAAAGCCTCTGCCTTCAGCTCAGGTCATGATCCCAGGGTCCTGGGATCGAGTCCTGAGTCAGGTTCTCTGCTCAGCGGGGAGCCTGATTCCTCCTCTCTCTCTGCCTACTTGTGATCTCTGTCAAATAAATAAATTAAAAAAAAAAAATCTTAAAAAAAAAAAAAAAGAAAAAAATTGCTTACAACCACCTCAGTATTTCCAAAAATTTCTGAAAACAAAAATTCAAAGATCTAAAAACTAATGTCAAGGTCACATACACATATCCACCTACCCATAGCAGTTCTACACAGGACTCTTACCTGACAGTAGTGGTTTTCTGCTCTTGTGAACTAGTAGAAACCCTGGAATCTCTTTTTTCAGGTCTAGTGCTAGCAACTGCAAGAGGTGGCACTGCAGCTTCATGCCTTCTCTCATCTCCCCGACTGAAACAGCTCTTGTTTGAAGACACATTATTGTCAAAGATGCTAGTATCAGAAGACTTAAGACTGGAAGGGTCTGGAAAGAGAAATAGATGGTCCTTCTAAGCTGTTTTTATTACTTTACTTTGAACCTTTCCCCTGTTCATCACCTATTTAAAAGCAGTATGTGTTCTTCCACAACGTTTTTAATGGCTGAACATTACTCCACAGATAGTCAATATAATAATTAATTCAATTTACTATTACTGAATTTCTCGGTAATTTTCCATTATAAAACATTAAAACATCCTTGGGGCACCTGGGCAGCTCAGTCAGTTGAGCAACCAAGTAGTGATTTCAGCTCAAGTCTTGATCTCATGGGCAGTGGGACTGAGCCCTATGTCAGACTCTGTGCTTATTAGCAGAGTCTGCTTGAGATCCTCTCTCTCCCTCTGCACTCCCCCACATTCTCATGCATGCACACTCTCTCTTTTTCAAATAAATAAATATTTAAAACTAAATAAATCAAAGGTGCCTGTGTGGCTCAGTTGGTTAAGCATCTGCCTTCAGCTCAGGTCATGATCCCAGGGTTCTGGGATCCAGCCTTGCACCTGGCTTCTTGCTCAGTGGGGAGTCTGCTTCTCCCTCTCCCTCTGCCTGCTGCTCGCCCTACTTGTGAGCTCTCTGTCAAATAAATACATAAAATCTTAAAAAAAAAAAAGTAAATAAACCAATAAAATATAAAAACATCCTTGAAGCTGAAACACTACATAAATTCACAATTCTTTCCTTAATTTTCCTTCCCTTGTTTAATTATCTTTAAGTTATATTCAATTTATTGCTCTTGAATCCACCGTTCATGCGCCTCCTAAGAAAGTCCCAAGAAACTATTATTTTCAAATTTATGGAATTTTTTCCAAAGCAGCATTAAATGACTAGAAAATAAACACTAGGAGCACCTGGGTGCCTCAGTCAGTTAACCGTCCACTTTCAGCTCAGGTCACAATCTGAGTCCTGGGACTGACCCCCCACATCAGGCTCCCTGCCCAGCAGAGAGTCTACTTCTCCCTCTCCCACTCCCTGCTCATGCTCTCACTCTCTCAAATAAATAAGATCATAAAAAAAAAAAACCCACAAAAAAATGCTATAGTAAATTCCAAAAACTTTTTAAAAAGATTTTTATTTATTTATTTGACAGAGAGAGACACAGTGAGAGAGGGAACACAAGCAGGGGGAGTGGGAGAGAGAGAGAAGCAGGCTTCCTACCGAGCAGGAAGCCCAATGTGGGGCTCAATCCCAGGACCCCGGGATCATGACCTGAGCCAAGGCAGACACTTAATGACTAAGCCACCCAGGTGCCCCAAATTCCAAATGTTTTAATGACTCTTACCAGTTGTAACAGAGCGAAGTTTATCTAACACACCATGAAGCCTAAAAGAAAAAAGAAATATATTAAAACTTCGTCTAATCAAGAAAAGATTTTATTTCAACTATCACTTGAAATTTGATGACATTACAGACTCTACCTTCAGATACAAATATTGATAAATGGTACTAAACAGTATTTAATGGATGAAGTTAAAGAAATGCCACATTTTAAAAAAAAGGCTTATATGTGTACTATAGAAGTAAATAAAAATCATATTTTTTCATCATTGTTTTGAACATCTATCTTCTGTGCAAATAAGGGAAAAGATATTATTTGACCAGTCTTCATCTACAAAGAATGTAATTTTGTTTTAAAGACTCCATGTAGCTTATGGTAAAAGATGAAGTAACACAGGTATGTAATATAGCTTACTGCTACAATTCCTTGAGCAGAGTTTATTTTATTTATTTATATAGTTTCTGAAACAGCTTAATTCTGAGAAATAAAAAACTTGAAAATAATATCAAAACATATCACCTCATTACTAATGCTGTAAACAAGCACAGGTTACAACCTTGTTTATAACACAGACTATCCTAGTAGTTAATGTACAAAGTAAATATGCCTTACAATCCCTTCCAAGAGGCCATTCCTTTTGAAAATACCAGAAATATCTATCTCATTATAATGTTTCACCCAGCACCCAGTCACATGCTACTGTCCCCTTGGACACAATTACTATAGGGCTCCAAACAATCATAATGGTCCATTTCAGGCTGATGTCAATGAACACTTAACCAGGGAAATAAAGTACCCACACAGAGACAAGCTAACTTGCATCAGTATACATTATGGAATTTATGGCAAGATGAGAAAACTGAGTTTGATCTTAAATTCAAATTCATTCAGTCCTTTATGTAAGAAATTAGTCCAAAGCGTTCCATCAAGTTATCTAAGAAAGGATCTCTACCTAGGTCAATCTTCCACAGTGTCCTAGTGGGACTCAAACCCAAAGTGATGCCAAGGCTGAACCAAAAGTCAAGTCCTAAAACACGTATACAAAACAAAACAAACACCTGGAGTGCAGAAGAGTTTTTTTTAAAAAAAAGGTTCTCATGATAAATTCATGATAACTTCATGATAACTTCCCCAGTCAAAAGTACCACCGTACCACGGTCTGCCTCTCTCTCATTCTTTTTTTTTAATAAGTTCTGGGGACTAAGTGAAAAGAGTGGGTTAGGGAACCACTCTGCAGTAGTTGGCTGTACCAAAAAATTTTGAGGATCAACCACTGAACTTAATGTCAGAATTCTGCATGGAATTTCAAGAAAACTTCACAAGACTGGCAAAGCATATAGTGGCCCAGAGGGGCAAAAACACCTTTTAGATAAATTTTAGCTTAAAGGTAAGAATTTAACCAGCTTCATATGCCTCTTTAGTGTGTCTTATTATCTCTCCCAGTCTCTTGACATTCAAAGTAACCAGGCCACTCTGCTCACTCAACTTTTGCTCCATTATCAACCTGTGCTGTAACTGGTGGTTCCCAGAGTGAGGGCACTTACAGGAGCACTTCCTGATCTATTCTCAGCCACACATTATCCTCCCCCTCCACCCTCACTCTACCTCAAACCTGCCTTCTTAAATTGAATCTTGTGCTTTTAGTCAGTATTCTCAACTAAGAGGCAATATTTGGTTTGAAAAAGAACACTGAAAATTATAACATGAATTTATATTTGAACACAAAATTTTCTTTTTAAAATTCCAAACTTTATAAAGTTCCAAATTTTTAAAAATGATTTGAAATTTTGTCCAAAAACTTCGCCCCCTAAAGCAATTTAGGAAGTCAACCCAGCTCCCAAAATATATGCAACTGGTTTTGGTTGGGGGAAAGGAGTAAGATGCAAAAGAAAACAAAAGAACCATAGTAACTACAGTTAACATAGACTAAGGACTTGCTGTGGGGCAGGCACACAGCTACAAGTATATTACCATGTATTATTTCATTTAATCCTTACAACAGTCCTATAAACGGGATTTATTAATCCCATTTTACAAACTGAAAAAACAAGGGAAAAGGCAGATCCAGGATTTAACCTCAGGAGTCTGGCTCCAGAAGCTGTGCTCTCATGGCTCACTATCTGCCTCTCCACAGTGAATCTGACTCTCCTATCAGGAACCTCTTTTCAGACAATACCTATTCTGACTTGTGGCAAACTTTGGTCTAAGGGGTAAAAATTCAGAAACATACCATACGGTGAATCGAATTGTGTTGTTCCCTAGAAACAGGGACAGGTCCTCTGTCATTTGGTCCTGACTTTTCTTGTTGGCCACCATCACCATAATGTAATCAGGAAGTTCTTCATCTAGTTAAAAGGAAAAGTATATAAAAACTTTTTTATGTTTTCCTCAACATTGTCTTCTACGTAAAAGCTATGCACTTGAGAATATAGATATAGCTCTAAAAATTAATATCTCAGCTCTACTAGAATTATGTTGGACAAGAAAGTATAGTCTTTTTCCCCTCTTCATTACATAGGTATTTTAACTACTAGAAGGATGGCAATTAGGAATAACTAACAAATACTTATAAAACTAGGTATTCTGAATTACAGTATCAAACTTGAGTGTATTCATTGCCTTTTTATCTTTTTAATAATGCTCATCGATTTCAGAGAAGCTTCCAAAAAGCATATGGACATGCCTCAAGAGTAATAACTGAGTTCTGCCTAGTTTTGTGTTTATGTTTCAAAATGATATTTATTTCTCAAGAGAACATCTTTATGTTCAGTAAAGGCAGATTTCTATTATCTCAGGGTAACCACTTTGCACCAACAGCAAATAAACTAAAACCACCCAAAAACTCTACAACATTCAAAAAAATTTAATCCTAGGGGCCCCTAGGTGGATCAGTCATTAAGTTTCTGCCTTCATCTCAAGTCATGATCCCAGGGTTCTGGGATGGAGCCCCGCATCGCATCAGACTTCCTGCTCCCTCTCCCACTCCCCCTGCTTGTGCTCCCTCTCTCACCGTGTCTCTGTCAAATAAATAAGATATTTTTAAAAATTAATCTTAAATTTAAGTAGTTTCAACTTCATTTACTGTTTTATCCTCACATACACTCTTAACACAATGATTATGAAGGTGAGGTCTAGGACCAAAAACAACAAAAACAAAACCACCACAGTAAGAAGGTAAGAAAGCAAAAGCCATTATCAAGAACTCCAATCCCCACCAAAAAAATTCCTTCAGATTTCTTCAATACCTTAAAGATTCATATTTCTAAGCAGAAAGGTTCATTTCAGAAGTACTATCAGACAAAAAAAAGTATTACCAGACATTTGTTTCAAGGAGAATTATCAAAAATCCAGTTAAAGAAAAGCACAAATATACTCAGCCCAATCTACAAATGGAGAGAGAGAAATCTTTATTTTTTACTGCTCTAATAGTATGAATATACAATTTACTTACTCATTTTATGTCTTTGGATATTTAGATCTCTTGCAATTTTACTAACAATAACAACAACAACAACAACAAACTGTTGCAAATAAATTTTAGAAGTCTAGGTGGCAACCCTGCCTCTGAAGAGTTAAAAAAACTCCAGGGGCTATGGGCTAGGAAAGCCACTCTGTTTTACATCATGACATACCTAGAGAATGGTAAGATGTATAGGGTGCACTGGAGTAAAGAGGAAAATTACTCACAGACAGTCAAAGTAAACCAGCCACTTCTGCCTCACCAAACATACCCAGCCACCCCAAGTGCTAAGAAAAATCAAATCTCAACAGACTGAAAAGTTTTCCTGATGTTCAGTATACTAATGTGCAGGTAACACTAGATAAGCAGCTGCTATAGGGGAGAGATTCTCAAATTTAGTTGCACATCAGAATCTACTGGGAGCTTTAAATAATCTGCTTATGTCCAAGCTGCACCCCAATTAAATTAGAATATTGGACAGAAGGATCAAGACATCAGTGCTTTTTATTTATTTTATTGAGGTATAATTAACATACAGTATTTTATTAGTTTCAGGTGTACAACATAGTGATTGGACATTCTATATGTCAAAGCTCACCACAGTAAGTGCAGTTACCATCTGTCACCATACAATATTATTATAAAACTGATTATAATCCCTGTACTGTACTTTTCATCTGTGACTTATTTTATAACTAGATCTCTTAATCCCCTTTATCTAGTTCACCTATCCCTGACTTACCTCCCCTCTGACAACCACCAATTTGTTCTGTGTATCTTCGAATCTGGGTTGGTTTTAGTTTAGTTTAGTTTTTTAAAAGATTTTATTTATTTATTTGACAGAGAGAGAGAGAGAGAGAGAGATCACAAGTAGGCAGAGAGGCAGGCAGAGAGAGAGGGGGAAGCAGGCTCCCCGCCGAGCAGAGAGCCCAATGTGGGGCTCAATCCCAGGACCCTGAGATCATGACCTGAGTGGAAGGCAGAGGCTTAACCCACTGAGCCACCCAGGCGCCCCTTAGTTTGGTTTTTTATTTTTTAAGTACTCTCTACACCCAACATGGGGCTTGAACTCATGACCCTGAGATCAAGAATCACATAACCTACGGACTCAACCAGCCAGGTGCCCATTTTTTTTTTAGATTCTACATTTAAGAAAATCATATGGTATTTGTCTTTCTGTGTGATTTATTTCACTCAGCATAATACCCTCTAGGTCCATCCATGTTGTTGTAAATGGCAAGATCTCGTTGTTTTTTATAGCTGAGTAACGTTCCATTATAAACATACACACACACACACATACATATCTTCTTTATACAGTCACCTATCAAATAGGCACTTGGGCTGCTTCAGTATCTTGGCTATTGTAAATAATGCTACAATGTAACATAGAGGAGCATGTTATCTTTTTGAATCAGTGGTTTTGTTTTCTTTGGGTAAATACCCAATAGTGGAATTACTGGATATGGTACTTATAGTTTTAATTTTTTTAAAGATTTTATTTATTTATTTGACAGAGAGAGAAATAATGAGAGCGGGAACACAAGCAGAGGGAGTGGGAGAAGGGGAGGCAGGCTCTCTGCTGAGTGGGAAGCCCAATGTGGGGCTTGATCCCAAGACCCTGGGATCATGACCTGAGCCGAAGGCAGACACTTAATGACTGAGCCACCCAAGTGCCCCATTTTTAATTTTTTAACAAGATTTTATTTACTTATTTGACAGAGAGAGAGAGAAAGTACAAGCAGGGGAAGCGGCAGGGAGAATACAACATGGGGCTCAATCCCAGGACCCTGGGATCATGACCTGAGCTGAAGCAGATGCTCAACCAACTGAGCCACCCAGGCATGCCTATTTTTAATTTTTTGAGGAACCTCCATATTGTTTTCCATAGTGGCTGCACCAGTTTGCAATGGAAGGAGGGTCCCCTTTTCTCTACATCCTTGTCTCTTTGATTCCACCAACCATTTTGATAGGTGTAAAGTGATATATGTAGATTTGATTTGCATTTCCCTGATGATTACTATGTTAGCATCCTTTCATGTGTCTGTTGGCCACCTGTATATCTTCTTTGGAAAAATGTTCAGGTCCTCTATCCATTTTTTTAAATGGATTTTTTTTTTGGTGTGAAGCTATGTAAGTTTTTTATACATTTTGGATATGGACCCCTTATAAGATGTATCATTCACAGATATCTTCTCTGATTCAGTAGGCTGCTTTTTTGTTTTGTTGGAGAAATCTGAATATTTAATAAAATCATGCAATATGAGGGAATGTAAATGAGAACAAGAAGCCAATCATTTATTTTCTTTGTAGAGTATCAAAAGGTTCCCACTGTTTCTGGCAATTGTAGCAAGTAAGCCTGGCAGCTTATTTATGCAAAGTGTACCTACCTAATATGAACTACTATTGGTAACCAAGGAAAGGTCAACAAAAAAAGTTAGAATGCTTTGCCAGCCTTCACAGATTTTCTCCCTCACAATGTCAATGATGAAAATGTGCTTTCCTGGGTGCCTCAGTCGGTTAAACGTCTGCCTTCAGCTCAGGTCATGATTCCAGGGTCCTGGGACCAAGTACTGCATCTGGCTTCCTGCTCGGCGGGGAACCTGCTTCTCCCTCTTTTCACCCTGCTGCTGCATGCCCTCTCTTTTTCTGTCAAAGAAACAGATAAAATCAAGAAAGAAAGAAGAGAGGAGAGAGAAAAAAAGACCCCCCCCCCAAAAAAAAGAAAGGGAAAGGAAAGGAGAAAAGAAAAGAAAATGTGCTTTCCTGTCACTATTAGCTTGCATTTTCTAACATTCTATGTGAGATCAGTGGCTGCTCCTGTACAGAGTCAAGGCAGGGAAAGGTGGGAAGGAGGGATAAAAAGGAGCCCCAGGGAACTTCTGGGAGTAATGAATATGTTCATTAGTCTGATTATGTGTATTTGTCAAGACTTAGCAAACTGTACACTTTAATTCGCAGTTTAATATGCCAGTAATAGTGTACCAATTATATCTCAACAAAGCCACTGGAAATTCATACACTATTTCCTCAGTATACAAAACAGAAAATAATAATCTAATGAAAAATTAATGCGTTCATGATACACTTCCACAGAATTCGGATTTCTCAATTTTATTTGAAATCTATACTGGGGGGAAAAGTGTTTTGGAGATTTATATTAAGTCCAGTCTTCTAAAACGTGAATGAAATTGTCAACTATACTCAAAAACATTTTTTAAATAAAAAATAACGTGAATGAATGACTGCTGTGAATCATAATCACCTTCCCACTGAAGTGCTCCAGTTTAAACAAACACACAAATGAGAAGTTATCACTATTAAGAGTTGTTTCACCTTTGTATCCCACCCGACACTGTGAAAAGATATCCAAGTGTTCATTAAATACTTACTGCTTCCATAACCTTCAAGGTTTTTAGGACTCTTTCTTATGCAAAGAGAAAGATTAGAAAACCATCCTTTTCAAAAGGACAATGATGTATATATATACAATTGTAAACCTAAATTCATAAGGTATACTTTCATTTCAAACACAGTTAATTGTAACCCGTTTTTCTACTTAATCAACACTTACTTTAAAAAAAAAAAAAAGAATCACTCTCTGCTAGGCTTTTGGGGCATCACAAATACTAAGTCTTTGCCCTCAAGAAATGTCCAGTCGAGAAGCAGACACAAGTTGAAAAGTCATGCTCATGTGTCAATCACTGGAACAGATTTCATGGAGTTCTGGAGTAGCACACAGGAGTGACTCCTATGCCATTATCAGCATCAAGGACACAGAAGACCTGAGTTCTTTGGTATTAATTCTGCTACTGACCAGCTCTACTACTCCTGATTCCATTTTTTTAGTGCTTTTTTTTTTAATAAAAGATCTTATTTTGACAGCGCACGCACACGTTCACACGCACACAAGGAGGGGTGTCAGCAGAGGGAGAGGGAGAAGCAGTTTCCCACTGAGCAGGGAGCCCGATAGGATCCATCACAGAACGCTGGAATCATGACCTGAGCTGAAGGCAGACATTTAACTGACTGAGCCACGCAGGCGTCCCTCCACTTGTTCAGTTGTAAAGGGAGCAACACTACCTGCCATTCCCACTTAGCACTGTGTTCAGTTACAAGTGGAATTATATGAAAATATTCTAAAAATCATATACTGTTTTTTTAAACTATTTATATTTTTGCTATAATTTCATTTCATATTGAACAACATTAAGCTTATAAACCAAGTTTTCAATAGACTCATAATTCTTGGTTTGAGATTTTTGATAAATGACAGGAATCATCAGTAAGACTGAACTTAGACTCAGTTAACACCTATTTGTGTTTCATGTGCTAGAACTAAGAAAGTTTATGCTAGATGTTTTCTGTAGATTTCTTACTGAACCAAACAAGTTTCTGACACATACCTGGTATCCATTAAGTGCTGAACAAATAAAAGAATAAATCAATTCTGATTCAGCTTCAGCTTTACTTCTGAGCCTCAATTCTCTTACCTATAAAAGACTTTAGAAGAATCACGACAACAAATAATTTATAAAAAGTGCCCAGCAAGTAATTCTCAAACTGCTGTGTCTCAGGTTCACTTTCTGCTCTGATGACCCACGGCAGGTCAGTCAGTTAAGCTTCCAGCTCTTAATTTCAGCTCAGGTCATGATCTCAAGGTCCTTAGATTGAGCCCTTTATTTGGCTCCATACTGAGTGCTTGGGATTCTCTCTCTCCTGCCTCTGCTCCTTCCCCAGCTCACACACACAAGCTCGCTCGTTCTCTCTCTCAAAATAAATACATAAAATCTTAAAAAATACTGATGACCCCAAAGAGCATATATGTGAACTATCTATCGATAATTACCATGCTAGAAAAAACTGAGAATGTTAAAGTCTTATTTAAAATAACATACCTAGGGGTGCCTGGGTAGCTCAGGGGGTTAAAGCCTCTGCCTTTGGCTCAGGTCATGATCTCAGGGTCCTGGGATCGAGCCCGGCATGGGGCTCTCTGCTCAGCAGGGAGCCTGCTTCCCCCCACTTCTCTGCCTGCCCCTCTACCTACCTGTGATCTCTGTCAAATAAATAAATAAAATCCTTTAAAAAAATAAAATAACATAACATACCTATCACATGTTAATAAACCCATGTATATGACATGTTTTTATAAAAAATAACTAAATTTTCCAAAAAATTAAAGTAAAACTAGTTATATTTTTGTAACTTTCTTAATATGTGGTTTTTAAAGACAGCTAAATTCAATTTCCACTTCTGCATTTAATGTTATGATATGCTGCTCTAACTGAACAATATGACAAAAATCTAGCCTCAAAAATACACAGTTGGGGGTGCCTGGGTGGCTCAGTGGGTTAAAGCCTCTGCCTTTGGCTCAGGTCATGATCCCACGGTCCTGGGATCCAGCCCCACATCGGACTCTCTGCTCAGCAGGGAGCCTGTTTCCTCCTCTCTCTCGCTCTGCCTGCTTCTCTGACTACTTCTGATCTCTTTCAAATAAATAAATAAAATCTTAAAAAAAAAAATACACAGTTGGAAAAGAAAGTATAGCTGACACATGAACACGGGGGTTTGAACTGCCCAGGTCCAATTATACCTGGAATTTTTATGATACACTTATCAAAAACGTTCTCTTCCTTACAACTTGTGCTATCTTTTCTCTAGCTTACTTTCTGTAAAAATACAGCATAGAACATATATAACATACAAAATATGTGTAAATGGACTATTTATGATACCAGTAAGACTTCTCTGATTATCAGTAGGCTATTAGTAGGTAATTTGGAGGGCAGTCAAAAGTTATACTCATATTTTCAGTTGTGCCAGGGAGAGGAGTGTCCAGCAGCCATAACCCCTAAGTTGTTCAAGGGTCAACTGTATTTTAAAAGCATTTTCAGATAATGTGGACATTCTTCTGGGATACTATATCAAAACTCAACAAGTGGTAGTTTCTTACAGGTCAGCAGCAATATGGAAATTAAAACTCTACCTATCGGGGCCCCTGGGTGGCTCAATGGGTTAGCATCTGCCTTTGGCTCAGGTCATGATCCCAGGGTCCTGGGATCAAGTCCCGCATTGGCCTCCCTCCGTCTGCCTCTCCCCCTTATTGTATTCTTCCTCTATTTCAAATAAATAAAGAAAATCAATTTTTTTAAAAAAGCTTCCTTTAAAAAAAAACTCTACCAATCACCTTTTTGTACCTTCTTACATGAAAATCCATCCTCTACTTTTAATCTTTCTCCCTTGTATAATTTTGTAACATAGTGCATTGATCATATGAAAAAATACTGGTTCAGGGAGCTATAAAAATCCCTGACATGCTGATACAATTCATTACAAGATACAAAAGAATCATTTGTTAATGTCATCATCAGAAATTATTTTTAAGTACTCTGAAGCTTTCAAGTTCATGAAGGCAGACACAAACTTTTCAAAATTCTAATTTTATTTGAAAGCTCAACTCTTGTCGTTGGTAACAAAGTGTACCAGTTCTTTTCCTCTGTTCACTTTCAAGAAAATGTCTGCCAAATACACAAGTGTATGTCTAGCTAGTTGGTCAGTGTTAGGAGATAAAAATGATGTTCCAAGAAAAACGTGTTTAACTCAATCACACAAATCCTTCCCCTTTAGAATAACCAACCCGTTTTAATACACAGAAGTACCTCATGAGTAACTCCTATTTTTTCACATCACACATTTAAAAGATGTAGTCAAGGGCCAAGATTTAAAAAAATATTTTTACTGCTTTACTAATTATATTAAATGAAACTGGCTTTTTAAAAGAATTCCCAGGGGAGGAGGTGATAGGATTTCCCAGAGTTCAACGTGAGATCTCCATTCAGACTAAGGTACCCCCAGTTTAACTCACCATTGCTTTTGCATAATCCAAATCTCAGCACAGTGAAAATAGCAAACACCCTTTCAGTATTAAAAGAAAACAGTTTTGACTTCAGAAACCCTTGGCATCTCTCAACACCTTGAGAACCACTGCAGTAAATTTTTACAGGAGGCACCAGTTTTGGAGCCAAACAGATCCAAATCTCAATCCATAAAGCACTGCACAAGTAAGCACTCCAAGTCTCAGCTTCCTTGCTTGTACAAGTTGGGGTATTACCGCTCACCACCTTTCAGTGTTCTCCTGGACATCATCAGGACCTAACTAACGCACAGACAGTGGTTAAGCACGGTGCCTGACCCAAAGTAAACACTCAAATTATAAATCATAAAAGCATCAAGTGAGAGCACATTACTGTGCGTGGTAAGAGAAAAAGGAACAGGAAAAAAGAGACGTGAAAATAAAACTCACTGAACTGTGACAGAGGCACATGCCTGGTAATATTCATATACAAAATAAGTTCTGAAACAAGAACATCAAGAGAAAAGGAAAAAGAACAGGATAAACAGTAGGAATCAGATAAGCATTATGGAAAACAGGACAGAGCCTCAACAGAGGCGGCTAAACAATCTTAAAAGCACCATATTAAAAGGCGGGGGGGGGGGGGGTTGCACATAGAGCTTTCAAGAAAAGACGGTAAGGAAAAGAACCGCAGAGAATCCGATCTGAAAGGGAAACGGCGTCTCTCCAAAGTACCAAGGGGGAAAAAATGCATTCACTAAAATTCATTTAGCAGCAAAGTCTAAATTCTATTACGCTGACGACAACAACAAAACTTACCAACGTAAGCTCCTAATTCTTGTAATTTCCCCTTAATGGCACTCTGAGGGAAGAAGAGAAAGAAACGTGCGTTGTGAGGAAGGCGGAAAACCACCCGGCTCCGTAACGCCGAGGGAACTTGGCAGCTGCGCGCACCTCCCGCCCCCTCGTCGCCCAGGTGGGGGCGGGGAGGCGCCCGGGTCCCCTCCCCCGTCCCCGCGGCGCCCCTCCGGCCGCGGCAGAGCGCGCCTCTCGCCCGGCGCTCCACGCCTCCTTCCGCTGCCGGCGGCTTACTCCAGCCGCGGCCCCGGTCGCCCGCCGAGCTCTCGGAGGCCCGTCTGCCCGAGGCGCCCCAGGCCGAGGAGGAGGCGTTCGCCCACCCCGCGACTCGCAGTAGAGCCCCCGCCGGCGACTAGGCCGCGGCGTCCAGGCCGGGCCCACAGTCCCCGTTACTCCTGACAACCGTGCGCCCGCCAGCCCGCTGAGGCCCGGCTTCCCGCCCCCGCCCGACGCGGGCCTCACCCGGATTTTGCGGCTGATCTCGGTACCGATTTCCATGGCTCCCCGACCAGCGGCGGGCTCAGCACTGCGCGGCGCTTCGTTTACCCAGAGCCCCGCGCCCGCCCCCAGTCCGCAGTTTCGCCGCCGCAGCCGCCAGCCGCCAGCGCAGCTCCGGGCCGCGCGATCTGCGTGACCCGCCCCCACCGGCTAGGCGCGCTAGAGCGAGCGAAGCCGAGTGCGCCTGCGCCTGGGCCTGCGCCTGCGCGCACCTGGGCCCACGGGGACTGTCTCGGGCGGCCTCTGCTGGCGGCAGGGAGAGCAGCGGCGGAAGGGTTCCCAGCGTTTCTCACCGCCGGTCCCCGCACCTGAGCAGCTCTCCTCTTTCCTCGCCCCCACTTACTAATTTTACGCTCTATGGGAAATAAAGAAGTAAACCTAGCGGAAAGATCCCTGGCTTTGCTATGGTATCTGGGTTAGAATCCGGCTTTCACTTGCTTTTAGTGTGATAATGGTCTACATTTAAATCTTCGAGTCCTTAGTTTTCTTATCTGTAAAATAGTCTCGTAGCGGTTGCACTATACTTACACTTGGAGAGAACCGACTATCCAGCTCAAGAGAACCAATTATTCAGTCCTATATTTTTCTTTTTGAAAAGACTTTATTTACTTATTTCAGTGTGAGAGAGAGCGCGAGAGCAGGGGGGGAGGATAGAAAGAGAGGGAGAGAGAGAATCTCAAGCCAACTCCACTGAGCAGGGAGCCGGCGCGGAGCTTCATGCCAGCACCTGAGATGAAACCAAGAGCCGAATGCCCAACCGAGTCACCAAAGCACCCCAGTCACAGTCCTTTCTAATGATTCCACAAGTACTGATTCCCTTCAGTCTGGTTCATCCTTCCCATCCGCACCCTCTCCAACCCTTCAAACCCCCTCCCACTCCCCAAGTTCTACAGTCACTCTCCTGCTCCTTCCTTTCTGACACCCTTCCTTTAGCGAATGCTGATTATTCTCGGGATTTCAGCTGTCATCTCTGTGCTAGGAACAACCAAATCTTCTGTCAGACCTGACTTTTCCCCTAAACCCCACTCCCAGATGACTCCAGGCATTTGTATTTCTCCCAAATTCAGCACATCAAAACTTATGTTTTCATTATCTTTCCCGTCCCCCCACTCAGATTAGTTTATATTCCTGACATCCCCATTTCTATCAATAACAGCTTAATTCTCCCTGTCCATGATCACAAAATCTCGGAATAACCAGCGAGATCTCCCTTCTCCCCCATATCCACTGAATCTGGAAGTGGTCCCTATAAGCTATCCATTGCTTAATGGATAAACTAAACTAAACTTAGCAGCTTAAAACACACGCATTTATCATCTCATGGTTTCAATGAGTCAGGAATGTGAGCACAGCTTAACTGAGTCCTCAAGTCCGGCTCTCACAAGGCTGCTGTTGGGGTGTCAGTCACGCCCCGTGTTCGCATTTGGAGGCTTGACAGAGGAAAACTCCGCTTTTAAGCTCATTGGTGTTGTTAGCAGAATTCTCTTGCAACTTTACCAGGGAGGGACCCAGATTTTCCTGTTTGTCTTCAGGCCACCCTCAGGCCATAGAGGTTGCCCATAGTTCCTTTTCTTGTGCTTCAACATGGCTATTTAAGTCCTCTAAGACAGTCTCTCAGCTCAGGGAAGGAAGGCCCAGTTCCTCTTCTTCTTGGGGCTTTCACTCTATTTGGTACCTTAGGGCCACCCAAGGCCTGACCCCCCAAGTCAAGTGATTTAGGGGCTAATTGCATGTGCAACCCCCCTTTCTTTTTACCATATTCATTAACTAAAAGCAAGTTACAGGTGCTGCCCACTCTCAGGGGGAGGGGATTATAGAGGCTGTGAACAGCAGGGGCAGGAATCACGTGGCCACCTAGGCTCTGTCTGTCACATGGCCCTTTATCACATAATCATTTTTTTTTCTTCTGAATTCCTATAGCATCTATGTAGGAGCTACTAGTATGACATTTAATATACCCTCTGTAATATTAATTGTGTGTATGTCCTCTCTAACAGAATGACAAACTCTTGTAGTTCTGCATTTCTCCAAAATTTCTTTCAGGATGCTAGACACATAGGAAGCACTTATGAAAGATTTGTAGGATAAAATAAATGACCTCAATTAACAAAAGCATTCCTCATGGATTAATCCAACGATTATGACCTCATCCAACATTGATGAGAAGCAGTGGAGCAAAGTGACTCAGTATAAGGACACCCGAGCCAGACTGTCTGGGTTTGAATCCCAGCCCTGATACTCCCTCCTAAACCTTAGGCAAGTTGCTTAGCCTCTCTGTGTCTCAGTTTCCTCACCTGTGACATGCGTATGATAGCAGTTTCTCTTTCATAGGGTTATGAGAATGAAATAAATTAATATTTGCATTTTAAACTACTTGGCTCACAGCAGCACTGTTTGTTGATTAAAAATTAAATGCCTTCTCGGAGTCAGATACTGTGCTGGGAGCCAGAGCACAAAGATGAGCAAGACAGAATCCCTGCTTTCATGACACTCACAATCCAAAACTAGTACATTATTTCTATTTCTTTATCCAGCATTTCAGAACTAAGAATGAAGAAAACACAGATTTTTGTATCCATTACTGATTACAAAATCCTTAGTCAATATTTAGATAATATTGAAAGAACATTTTACAGAGAATAGAAAATGTTTTCATTAAAAATGTATTTGGAACAGGGAAACTTTTATTAAAATGTATTCAAGGGCACTTGGATGGCTCAGTCTGTTGAGTGGTTAAGTGTCTGCCTTCTTTTGGCTCAGGTCATGATCCCAGAGTCTGGGAATTGAGCCCTCAGAGCCCTCAGCAGGGAGCCTGCTTCTCCCTCTCCCTCTGTCTTCCCCACACCCCTTATGTGTGGGCGCCCTCTTTCTCTCTCTCTCAAATAAGTAAATCCTTAAAAAATGTACTCAAGAAAGGGTTAACTTTCAGAGCAATACATTTAGAACTATGGAAGAAGAGATTTGCAAGCTGCTTAAGAATGCACACATTTATAATAATAAAGAAAAGAAGATGAAAAGAAATGCTTTTACTTAAAAAAAAAAAAAAAGTTGGGGGGGGGAGCACCTGTTTGGCTCAGTCAGTAGAACATGTGATTCTTGATCTCTGGGTTCTAAGTTCAAGCCCCACTTTGGACCTAGAGCTCACTTTAAAAAAAAAAAAAAAAGAATTCACTCCCTCTGCCTCTTCCTCATGGTCTCTTTTCTGGCTTGTGTTCTCTCTCCCTATCTCTCTTTCTCAAATAAATAAAAACTAAAAAAAAGGGGGGGGCGGGAGTGGGTGGCTCAGCAGGTTAATCCTCTACTTTCTGCTCAGGGTCTGCTTTATGATCTCAGGGTCCTGGGATCTAGCCCTGCATCAGGCTCTCTGCTCAGCAGGGAGCCCACCTCCCCTTCTCTCTCTGCCTGCCTCTCTGCCTACTTCTGATCTCTCTCTCTTTGTCAAACAAATAAATAAAATCTTAAAAAAAAAAAAAAAAGAATCCACACATTCAGATCTCGGGAGGAGTTACAGTGTCTGGATCACAGGGGGCAACCTGCTAAACCAATGGTGTTTAGTGGTCCAGCACTATTCAAGGTGCTTCTCTGGAAGATGCAGCTTCGTAAACCACATCACGTCCAGAAGAAGATGATCATGATGATGACCAGAAAGAAACATTTAAAGGAACTAAGGGTATTTAGCTTGAAAAAGACTAAGCTGAACCAGGAGAATTCTTCTCTGGCATGGAAAGGCTCTCCAGTTCAGGAGGAATGACCTATTTTGCTAAAGGGGATAGAATGAAGACTAGAGGGACCCTGGGTGGCTCATTGGATTAAGCATCTGCCTTTGGCTCAGGTCCTGATCCCAGGGTTCTGGGATGGAGTCCCTTGTCAGGCTCCCTGCTCAATGCAGAGCCTGCTTCTCCCTGCCCTCTGCCTTGCTCTGCTTGTGTGCACACACTCTCACTCCTGCACTATCTCAAATAAATAAAATCTTAAAAAAATAAAAAATAATTTAAAAAATGAGGACTAGATTTCAACAAACCACAATGCAGGCTAAGAGCGTTCTGGGTTGTCTTCTAAAGAGAGAAGATGACTAATAAGAGTATTAGTTTTGAAGTCAAAGGGGCCTGAGCCCAACTTCATGGAGCCTTGAGTCCTGTAACATTGGCCTCCTTGTATCTCCAGCCTCCTCTCAGGGCAACATCCCAGCTGGACGTTGCATGTGCACATCCTTGCAAGCCTGTGTGTGTGTGTGTGTGTGTGTGTGTGTGTGTGCACGCGCACGCGCACAAGGGGGAGCAGAGGGAGGGTTTGGGGGTGGGTTCCTTCAGCCTGAAATGCTTTTCTCTTCTTTTCCTTGAGTTCTTAGTGAGCTTTTTCATCTGTCCTTCCAGAGTCATTTAGAAGCTGATCACAGTCATAAACCAGACACGACTATCTCGCTTAAAATATGTTCTCATTAATATATTCCCCTACTGTGGGGCACCTGGGTGGCTCAGTGGGTTAAGCCTCTGCCTTCAGCTCAGGTCATGATCTCAGGGTCCTGGGATCGAGCCCCACATCGGGCCCTCTGCTCAGCAGAAAGCCTGCTTCCCCCTCTCTCTCTGCCTGCCTCTCCGCCTACTTGTGATCTCTGTCAAATAAATAAAAAAATATTAAAAAAATATATATATATTCCCCTACTGTAATACGTATGCATATATACACACACACACACATATATGTAGTACTAGAATGTGTGTGTGCGCGTGTGTGTGCGCGTGCACGCATGCACCACACACTAAGTCTCTGAGGACAGACCCATGCATCTCATTTGTCTTTTGCTCTTCCTATCCCTTCCCTCTGGGAATCATTATCTCTATGTGGTGGGAGGAGGGGGTCAGTCATTCAGTTCAGGTTCTTGCATAAAATGATAACTTACATAGGTAGACTACTCACCAAGCTATCAAAGCAGATTAATTTCTTTTTTAAGATTTTATTTTTTTAAATAATCTGTATACCCAATGCAGGAGCTCAAACTTACAACCCCAAGACGGGGGTCACATGCTCTACCAACTGAGCCAGTCAGGTTCACCCTGAATTTCTTAACTCCTAAGAAAATATTAGTCAGTGCACCACTAAAATCACAATTTCCTTTCATTGATTATCTTATTTAGTTCAGGACTTTCTTCTTTAAATTTTATTTTTTAAGATTTTATTTTTAACTAATCTCTACACCCAACTTGGAGCTCAAACTTATAACCCTGAGATCAAGAGTCTCATGCTTTACCAATGACTGAGACAGGCACCCCTTAAATTCTAATTTCTTTATTTTATTAAGAATTATCTTTATGTGGATAAATATTTAAACTATGCCACTTTCTAGGTAACAAGAGGAGGTAAAGATACAGATATCTAATGGCTTATTTATCTACAGAGTATCTCTAAATAGATACAGAAGGTTTTGGTAAACACTGGTTACTGGTAAGAGGAGAGCTGCCTGTCCAGCAGTGGGGGCAGGAAGGAGACTTTCTCTTATACTTTTTTATACCTTTTGGGGTTGAACCATACAAATTCCTTCTCTTCATTCAGACATAAGCCAATAATATCAAGTCTGATGCTTTGAAGGGGCTGCTCATATGGCTTATTACGGGGGGCGGTTAATGTAAAATTAACATGGTTGAGGGAAAATAGAGTTTAAGTCCTTGTTTAGCAAATGACACTGGGGCAGTGTGAGTGAGGAAGTTCAAATTTGTTGTCTAATATCCATTGGGTTTTATGACCGTTTTCTATTTTTAAAATTCTTTTATATTCTTCCCGATTCAATTAACACATTTTTATTTAGTGCCTACTCTCTGCCAGTAGTTGTCCTAGGAATTCTAGGAGATATAAAAGAAGCCTGCATGAAATAGTTTTTAAAGCTCTTGCCAAGTATGGAGATCACTGTGGGATGGGGTGGCTAGGAAGCTGTCTTGAAAGCAGAGAGCCTTGAATTGACACTTGAAGAACAGGGAAAGACTAAGACAAATGAAGTGGGGGGGGTGCAGGGAGGGCCATGGGCCAGGAGAAATAGCTTGACTGGGGCATTCAAGGGGAAGAGAGGAATTGCGGATGGCCAGAGAGGCTAGAGCAGCTTAGAAAAGCCCTAAAGGACAGGCAGAAAAGCTAGCCTTGGGGGTCCATTGGGAGTGATAGACAGAGACAGAGAGAGACATAAGCTTGGTATTTGCATGTAAAGGAGAGAGAACTGAGAAACCAGATGCAAGACCACCCTTGTTGCAATAATCCGGATGTAAAATGATGAAGGTTTGGTTTAGAATTGCGGGAAGGGGGTAGGAGGCAGAGAGGAAAGAAACCTTGCAAAGGAGGAAATCCCAGGCCTTGATGGTAGGCTGGAGATGAGAAAGGGAGAAGGGTCTCAATCATTTCAATTTTTCTAGCCCAGGAGACCAGAACAGGGACTCATTTTCATGTCTCTTTTCTTTCCTCACACACAACTTGACCCTTCTTGGTGTCCTGTTGAAATATCAATTACAAACAGAATTAATTTAATTTTTCTATCAGAAACACATGTGATCTTACTTGCTTTTAGCTCCATCACCTGCCTTGAATCTTTGCGGGCTTCGTTCTCCCAGAGCACTCATACCTGTGGGACGCCTGTGTGGTGTGTAGGTGAGTGCATCTTCCGGTTGACCAGAAGTCCTCTGTGTGCAGGGACCATGACCTAGGTAGAGTAACTGCTCAGTCAGTGGCTGCTAACTGTTGATGAAAATGAGAGAGTTAAATAAAAATCTAACACCAAAAAGCTTTCCAGAAACGGTATTTTTAAAAAATCATTTAAAATAAAATTTGCCAAATAAAAGCTTCCCTGCTCCAAACACTCAAACCACATCCCAGGGATCGAACAACCCTATTGTGATGCTGTTAGGGTCACACAGTTTCATTCTTCCCCCTGAGTGCTGCTGCAATTCAGTAATAATTCAGTAATAACAATGCAGCTTAAAAATACAGTATCGTGGGTGGCTCAGTTGGTTAAAGCCTCTATCTTCGGCTCAGGTCATGATCTCAGGGTCCTGGGATCGAGCCCCACATCGGGCTCTCTGCTTGGCGGGGAGCCTGCTCCCCCCCCCCCCCCCGCCGCCCCGCCTGCCTCTGTCTACTTGTGATCTCTCTCTCTGTGTCAAATAAATAAAATCTTTAAAAAAACAAATACAGTATCGTGTAATAATAAACACTGCTAATGGGGTCTAGAGTTAAATGAAACACTTCACATATATTTTACAGTTACTAGACAGTGATTATTACTATATTCCCTTTAGAAAAGAGGAAGCAGGCACAGAGAGGTTAGCGCGTTTACCCAGCTAGAAATTGTTGGCGCTGAGATTCGAACCTAGACAACTTGACCACGGAGTCCCCATCTTTAATAGCTCTACTCTGTACTGCATATGCATACACATACAGAGACCGAGAGATTATTTGAGGCAGATCAGCCTTTTGGGGGGGGGGAAGGGGACTTTCCCACCCAGCACTTAAGAGTGTTTTTCTTTGTTACGGGGTGTATCTTTAGATGTAAGTATGGAAGAAATAGAATATTCGAATTGTTTTCAGAAAGGTACAAGAGTAAAGGAATAACTCCAGCAATAATAGCAGTTCACCGACCCTTTACCTGGAACCGAAATAATATCCCCCTCCCCTCATTTTTATTAAAAGCCTTGCTTTATTTGGAAACTCTTAAAATAAGTGGTCATATGATTAAAAAAAGCAGCGGCGCGCCCCCTCCCCGGCGGCCGGGCGCAGCTGTCCGCACCTCCCCCGCGCCCCGCCGCCCGCATTCCAACTCTCTGAGGTCACGGGCCGCCGCCGCCTCCCCGGATCCGCCCGCCTGCCCGCCCGGCCCAGGGGGAGGGACGCACGGCCCCGGCCGCTCCGCTGCTCCGGCCCCGCGTCCGGTGCCTGTCTGTTCGTCGGTCCGTCCGTCTGTCCTCCTGTCGCTCCGGCCCCCGCCCGGTTTCTTTGTGCGGCGCTCCCGGCCGGTCCCACCTCCAGGCCTTTCCCGTCACCGCCACCGCCGCCGGACTCTGCCCAGGGGAATGGTCTGCGGGCCGAGGTTTTGGAGACAGGAAGTGAGGCGCGCGAGCCCCATGAGCGCGTCGCGGCGCGGGCTGGCGTGCGGGCGCGGCTCTGGCTGCCGCGCGGCGGGACCCCGGGAGGCGGGCCGCTGAGCGGGGCGCGCGGCCCCGAGGATGCGGGAGCGGGAGCAGGTGAGGGCGTGGGGCCCCGGCCGGCGGGCGGGCGCTGGGGCCGAGCGGTGGGGTGTGTCAGCCCGCGGGGACCCCGGAGCGCGTCGGCCAGCCCTGGAGTCCCGGAGGATGGGTCCCGGCTTCCAGACCCGTGGCAGGAGCGTAACAAAGAGAAAAGTCTTCCTTTCCAGGTTCTCCGTCATCTAGTTGAGGTCCTTTCTAAAGGGGGTCTTGAACTTCTGTTCTGAACTCCTTGGCTGATTGTTGCGGCTTAATTCTGGATCAGGGGTTTAACAGTCTTAGGCATATTTGTGCCTCTCGGTATATTAAATGCGAAATTGGGCAGATAACTTTGGCGAGAAGGCAAGTAGGGAAGGATTTTTTGGTGATGACTTGGTTTGGAGTAAAGGGTGTTTACTCTGGAAAAAAGAATTCTTGGGTCTGCAAATTCCGACTTGTGATTTCTGCAAATCCTGATTAGATTGGCCGCTCTTGGCGTGCACGTCTTTTCTTTTTTGCTGAGAAAGCCTTATAATAATAGCGTATACTCGCAAACACACTCAAAACACTCCGTGTGCTCTGACAACTGCTGTATGTCTAATGAGTTGCTGACAGATTTTTTTTTTTTTAACTTTGGGATATGACAATTTTACTGACAGTAGTTGTCTGTCTTGTTTCTAGGGTATTTTATTCTTGAGTATCTACGCATATTGTCCGTGAGAAATATATTTGATACTATAGATCTATATATTACTCTAAAGATGTCATATACTCTGATTATTTTAAACTATCACTGGCAAGATTACAAGTGGGGGAGGATCTTGGCAGTAAGGAGGGAAATGACAGGATTCAGAGCTACAGTGTATTTGAGAAACTTTTGAAAGGGGATGTGAAAACATTAAAATGAATTAACAAGTGTCTCAGACTACCTTTTGAAAAGTGGAACAGAATTTAACATGTATCTCTTATTACATAACAGAATGGTTTTTGTAGAGAAAGTATTTGGTAGTTTTTTCCTTCAAAAGCGAATTATGAATTACCTGTTTAGTAGACAAGTTATAATTTCAGAGCTTTCAAATTATTCCATATTATTTTATACCTGAAACAGACCCCCTAAAAAGCAACTTCTATTTCTACTCCATTTGAACATTAATAATTTTGGCATGATTTGATAGTGAAAACTACATAACAGAAAATTAAAAGGTATAAATCATTGATAAATTTTCTGAATTATTAAACAGTATTATTTTAACACAGTAGGTTTTATATAAATAAGCAAAAAGCAAGCTGTTCTAGTGGACAGATCTTGGGGGGGAAATGCACCCTGATATTCACACCCACATTCACACCCCAACTTTTTCTATTACATTATAAAATCTACCTAAGTAAAGAGAAAAACATTGGCTTTTCTTTATCTCTGATGCAGTAAAACATTTCAAATCTCAGGAACAACTGAAAGTTTTACTCTGCATTTGCTTAATCACAGCTTAAGTTAATAATTAAGTTATATAGTATAATACTTACTGCCTTCAAGGCATCGGTGTATCTTTGTAATGAAGAGTCTACCATACCTGAACACTTAATACAATTACTCATCTTTCCTCTGCAGAAATGCAGTATCTTGTCTCTTCGTCACACTAATTTTGTTACCATAATTTGTATGTAAAATTGAAATCCACCACCTCATCTCATGAAAGGTATTTAATAGAATATGAGGTGTGGTATGTTATATAATCTTTTAACTTTTGTGTTATACAAACCCTGATAGCTTATTAGACAATTTTCTAGTCAAAAGCTTATTAAAGTTCTCATTTCTTTTGTTTTTTAAAGATTTTATTTATTTATTTATTTGACAGAGATCACAAGTAGGCAGAGAGGCAGGAGGGCTCCCTGATGAGCAGAGCCTGGTATGGGGCTCGATCCCACATCGTGGGATCATGACCTGAGCTGAAGGCAGAGGCTTAACTCAGTGAGCCACCCAGGCACCCTAAAGTTCTCATTTCTTGATTTTTTTTTTTTCATTTTGCCTCAACTAATTTATAAACTGACATAGCAAAGAGCATTGAAAACTGCAGGTGGAGACCGTATCTTTTAAAAATATTTATATTACCTCCTTTATGCTTTTACTTATAGAAGGTACTCAGCAAAAATGCTGTTTAAAACAGCGCTTTAAGTAGTCCTAGTTTTTTTCCTTTGGCCTTCTTCCTCTGGTCCTTGTTTTTAACTTTTACTTTTCTGGCTATCTGGGCATAACCAGAACTCCAAAAGCAAAAAACCAAAACACAAACAACAAAAGCAAGGAACACAGAAACAGAGAAAACCGTGGTGCGGTCCTTACTAGAGATAACAGCCGTGTATGTAATTATAGTATGCATGTAATCTCCTTAAGGACAGCGACGGCTTAGGGTTCGTCTTAGATTTCTCGCACTGCCCACTACTACGCTGCCTTGTACTCAGAGACGCAAATACACTTTTGTGGAATGGAGTTACAAAATGTTAACTTTGGCAAAGCCTAGTGAGATGGCTACACGCAATTCTCTAGCTCTGCCTACTCCAGCCCTGTGTGACCCATCATCTCTGAAACCGAGACGCAGTCAGAAGAGCGGAAAAGAGCGGAGGACTGGGAACGAGGCACCCGGGATTCATTTCCCAGCTCAGCCCATCCCCGCGTGAGGCTGAGAAAGCCGCTTCTTTCGAGGCCTGGGTTCTGGGTCTCCCAGACGAGAGGGCTGGGGGCAGACCTGGCCCCTCCCCGCGGTTCCCCGCCCACGTTCAGGGTAGTCAGCCTCCGCCGAGCCTCGCTGAACGATTCGTCTTCTGGGGCAGCCTCTATTCAGAAAAAGCAAAACCGAAAAAAACCCCAATGGGTGGGAACCCTCCCGGGATTTTGTTGACTCGTTACACCCAGTGTAAAAACCTCCAGCCGCCGCTCACGCTCAGTTTGCTCCAGCCCAGGAGTTACCATCAACACGTGTGTTTAAAAACGTTGTAAATCACGCCTGGGCGGGGGGGTGGGGAGGGGGTCCTGAGGTTCCAAACAGGGAGCCAAACGGACCCCGCCCAGACCCCTCCACCTCCCGTAGGTCTTAAGCTGGGTTCTTTAAACATTCCCTCCGGGGGCAGCGGGGGGCAGCGGGGGGCCAGTCCTTCGCTAGAGCGTCCGTCCGGAAATGCCGCGGCTAACGAACGAGAGTTCCGGGATATCTGAGGCTGCGCGTTGGCCTGGCAACGCCGCGGGCTTTTCGGTCGGGAGGACGCGGGGGGAGTCGGAGCCCGAGTTCTCTGCTGTTCCCTTGGTTCATGGGCTTGCTGAGCCCGGTCCGCCCCTTGTTAATCCAGAATGGCGTTTAAGTCTTCGCCTGCCTCGGCCTCTGGGCCGCGGCCCTCCGTAGGTGAAGGCCCACTGCCTCTTAGGCGTCCCCACCCGTTGGAAAGCCGGGGCCACCCTTTTCAGAATTTCCCTGCTTTTGGGGGTAATCGGGTAACAAGCACTTGTAGGGTCTTTATGATTTGTTAATCAACCCATCAATTTGGTGACGTTAATGTTTATAAAGCAGAAACGGCCCTACACATGCTTGTTAAGCGTTTCACCTCGCTTGAACCCCACAGCTGCCATATGTTACCGGGGATGATTCCTCCCCTTTGGGTTCAGGGTTCATGGGTCTAATGGGGTTTGGACTTTTACCGAGCGCTTCTCGAGGTGTTTTGCAGTTATCGCCCTTAAGGGCTAAAGAACCCCGACAGTTGGCGTCTTAGGGAGCCAAAAAGTTCACTGTAAAAAACAAAACTTCAACGTCGAAGCACTAATGCTACCTACTAAATTTGGCGGTTGGGTAGTGCCAGCCTCTGTCCTGTCCGGTTTAATCCCGAAGATGGCCGTAGGTGGTGATCGCTATTTGTAGGGTTCAAGGAGGGGTGGAGTCTGACCCAGGGGCTAAGGCAGTGCCATGATAAACTTCCTCACTACCTCCCAGATCCTGTTCCTGCCTTCTTTTTCCAGGAGAGAGGGAGAGCTTAGTCTTTGGGTACCTCTTTCCTGATTTTTATTTTTAAAAACTCAGAGGCGGCGGGGGGGGGGGGGGTGGAGTAAAAATAAAAACTCCTTTCGGAAGTTGCTATTGCCCCTGTAACTGGTGTTCCTCTTTTCCGCAGCACTGGCGTGGATGCTCCCTTCACCCGTCCTTTGGGGAGTCCGTTGCTGTTTGATGGCGGCAGCCGCTGCTGGGTGAGCAGCCGGAGACTGTACCGTACTCCTCCCGTCGGGACAGGATCAGTTTCTCCCGCCGTCGCCACCGCCACACGGGTGGCGGTGCTTTTCCCTCTTGACCTCTCCGCCACGCTCCAAGGGACAAGAAGATGCCACTGCCGTTTGGATTGAAACTAAAACGCACCCGGCGCTACACGGTGTCCAGCAAGAGCTGCCTGGTTGCCCGGATCCAGCTGCTCAATAACGAGTTTGTGGAGTTCACGCTCTCTGTGGAGAGCACTGGCCAGGAGAGCCTGGAAGCTGTGGCCCAAAGACTGGAGCTGCGGGAGGTGAGCCCCCCTCAAAAGGCTGCAGGCTTCTCTAGCCTGCCTTCGTGCCTTCTTCCTTCCCATTTTTTTTTAAAGACTTTATTTATTTATTTATTTATTTGACAGAGAGATCACAAGTAGGCAGAGAGGCCAGCAGAGAGAGAGGAGGAAGCAGGCTCCCTGCTGAGCAGAAAGCCGGATGTGGGGCTTAATCCCAGGACCCTGGGATCATGACCTGAGCCGAATGCAGAGGCTTAACCCACTGAGCCACCCAGGCGCCCCTTCCCAGACATTTTAGTGCATGCTGGCTCTATGTTTTCCAAGTAGGTCCCTGGCAGTGATGTCTGAGTCTGCAAGCCCCTCTCTCTGTGAAGAAGGAATCCAGAGCAAAGGGTCTTTCTTTGGGTGTGCCCCTTAAGATCCCTAATAGTGCTTGAGTTTTGGAAGTGCTTATATTTGTTCCCTTAAACTATAATCCCAAATCAAATAGTAATGCATTCAGGATTGTCCACATTCCTTTTTTTTTAAAAGATTTTTATTTATTTATTTGAAAGAGAGAGAAACATGAGCAGAGGGAAGGGGCAGAGGGAGAGGGAGAAACAGACTCCAGTGGGGAGCCTGATCTCAGGCTTGATCCTAGGACTCTGAGATCGTGACCTGAGCTGTAGACACACACCTAACCAACTGA